GGGACACAGACGTGCGATGGGGACATGGGTGTGCAATGAGGACATGGGCATGTGATGGGGACACAGACGTGCGATGGGGACATGGGTGTGCAATGAGGACATGGGCATGTGATGGGGACCTGGGTGTGCAACGGGGACACGGGCATGCGATGGGGACATAGACATGCAACAGGGACACGGACATACAGCAAGGACATGGACTTGTGATGGGGACATGGGCATGTGGTGGGGACACGGGCGTGCAACGGGGACAGACGTGCAACAGGGACATGGGCGTGCGATGGGGACGTGGACACACGGTGGGAACACGGGTGCATGATGGGGATGCAGACACGCAACGGGGACATGGATGTGAGATGGGGATATAGACATGACGGGGACACACGATGGGGACACAGACGTGCGGTGGGGACATGGGCATGGGATAGGGACACAGACATGGGATGGGGACACATGTGATGGGACACGGGTGTGCAACGGGGACATGGACATATGATGGGGACAGGGACATGCTATAGGGACCCCGATGTGCAATGGGGATGCAGCTACGATGGGGACAGGGACATGCTATAGGGACACGGCCATGCAATGGGGACCCTAACGTGCAATGGGGACCCAGCCGTGATGGGGGCGTGGCCATGCAATGGGGACAGGGACACGCGATGGAGACCCAGCCACGTGACGGGGACCCCGCTGTGCCACGTGCACACGGGGGCCGTGCCACCGTCCCCCAGCCCCGGGTTGGTGCCAGTGAGGTGACGCCCCGTGGGACCGGTGGCGGGGGGGGGCAGCTGGCACGTCCCCAGGGGGTCACATCGGTGACCACGTGGGGAGGGGACATTTCCCTCCCGTCCTCGCTTGGCTGAGCCCCGGGGCAAAGGTCTTGGTGGGGAAACTGAGGCACGGAGCGGGTGCCCCCCGCTGCAGCTCTCTCTTATCCAGCACCTGCTCAGCGCCGCAGGATGAAGGCTCTCCTCCTTATCCTCCTTGCCCAGCTCGGCTCGGCATCGCTGATCCCCGGTAGGTGAGGTTTGGGGGGGGGGGGGGGGGGACCCCCACAGAAGGCACTCCTCG